GATCGCAACCCTCAGTGTTGCCCCCGTACCGGACCGGGGACCGGCAACGGGATCGCAACCCTCGGCGTTGCTCCCGCGCCTCGCTCAGCCAGTGAGCGGGAACCGGTCTGTATGTGGGATCCAAACCCTCGGGCGGGAGCGCCACGGTGCTTCCCAAGCGGCGCACTCGGCGCACTATCCAGTGCGCCACTGGGCCGGCCCCAATACCAGATTTTAAAAAGATCACATGGTTTTAAAATTTTAAACAGTTTTGAAATTTGTTTTAAAAAAAATCACTTGGGGCTGGCCAGTTAGCTCAGTTGGTTAGTGTGGTACCGATACCACCACCAAGGTCCAGGTTTCAATCCCTGTACTGGCCAGTGTAAGTGCTGCAACAAGCTAAAAAAACAGAAAATGTGTTACAATTAAGCAGTAAAATGTACCTATACTTAATGTCATGCTTTAGATTGGTTTCCTGAATTCAGTATCCATTAAGGTTTACTTAAAATCAGCTTTCTACTTAAGCATTTGTTCAAAAGAAAAAAAGTATCAACATGAATTACAGTGTACTGTGTAAGTCTGTAACAGATACAGCACTGGGACCTGATGTTCAGACAGACAGACAATAAACAAGTTAAACATACTTAAAGTAGTTCCAGGTCTTCAGAGAGTAATCTGGTAAAGGTGGGATGGTGGGTGGGGCTTTAGCTAGTGTGATCAGAAGAGACCCTTCTGACAGTTATTTGAGCTAATTAAGAGGCTCGGCCATAGGGAGAGAGGGAGGTTAAATATTCTATCCTGAAGAAAAAGGAAGTGCAAAAGCACAGAGACAGCAACAAGCTTACCAAGTGTGAGGGACAGAAAGCAAGCCAGCGTGGGCTGCGATGAGGGGTGGGAAAGTGGAGGGTGACCAGGCTGGGAAGTCCAAATCAGCAAGTATTTTGTTGTGGTTGCACTAAGAAGCCATCAGAGGGTTTTAAGCAGGAATTAACTGACAAACCTATTTTCATTTTTTGTTGAAGTCACATTTCTATTAAATTTATATTCTTAAAAACTATAATCCTTCTGTTGAATGGACTGCCTATTTTTAAAATCAAATTCTAAGAGCTATTAATTGTATCGGACATTTTACCTTTACTACATAGAACACATCTGTTCACATCTAAACACATTTCAAAATTGCAGTTCCTATGACAAAAATAAAAATCTTCAAAGTTCTCAATAAAAATTATACGTACCACTCAGTAAATAAAAATTTAAAAAGAAAAGAGCAGAAGATAACCACCCTTAAAAGATGTTTTAATTCCATGATCATGCAAGGGTTACTATTCCAGTAACAATACATGCTGTAGCATAACCCAGTTCCTACAATTTTTCTGACAAAGGGGATAATCCAACAAAATTTTGTCAGATGCTTGTAATTTAAAAAGTCATTCTACATTCAAACACACATTCCGAATAGCAACTAAATTTTTAATGAAAATTGCAATTGCTAACAAAAATGCCTATTATTCAACCATAATTACTTAAATTAGTCTGCCTAAAATGACAAGTTCCACTCAAATGTTCTGTCCTTCTCTCTCCTGGACTGCCACTCTTTCTTCTCTAGCATTCTAGATACAGCTTTCCAAAGTTCTATCCCTGGTCTTCACTTCAGCTGGCCCCTACTCCCAAGATTTCAACTCTCACTTGTCTGCAGACTTTCAAATCTGACCAGTCTCTCGACTTCTATCCTAAACTCTAGTCTACCATTTCCAATCTCCTGCATGACTTGTTCAATTCACCAGCCTGATAAGATTATCTATCCCAAGACCAAACTCATAACTTTCTTCCCCAAATTGAACCTGCTTTTGTATGACCCTGTCCCAGCTGTCAGGCGCAGTACCATAAAGTCATGCTCTGATGGATTCCCCTTCGGCTGTGCGCCAGCCAGCTGAGAGTGCAATGCATCTTCCCGTGAGGCTTTCCTGCTTTCCTCCCCTCTCCCCTCTCCTCTCCCTTTGCAGCTTCCCAGCCACTCTCCTCACTTCACCACCTGCTCCTGGCTCTCTACTGTAGGGCTGCTGTCCACTCTACTCACTCTGAACAGCCAAATCAATCTTCCTAAAGTCATACTGATTATACCACACCTGTGCTAAATATCTACGATTTAGATTCAAATTTGATCTAGATTCAAATTAATTCCTTGTGTGTGAAAGTATTTTGTAAATAGCCAAGTGACAGAGACAGAAGTTACCCTTGGAGGTTTATTTTGTGGGTGGACTTTAGCTCCTCCAAACCCAGAAAAGCAAAGATACATAATCACTGGAATTTCAAAGCCCTGGGAGTAGTCCAATGCTTATCACCTGATTGGAAATAAAGTTTCACCCTCAATCCCTACCTATTCTCTCAAATTACTTTCTGGGCTGGTTTACAAACATTGTAAAGCTTTAATTCCGGGCTCAATGCTCTCATCCAGCCTTCCCAAACCTCTTAATTTACCAAAGTGAAAGGAATAAATGGCACATACAGTAATGATTCCTACCCTGCCCACCATCTGCAGACAGACAGACACACAGACACACACAGATGGCTACATGGTTTTAAAAAAAAAGTTTTAGGATTCAAAATGCATTTGAAAATGCTTGCCAAATAGTCATTTTGAATGTTCTTTTGCAAGACTAATACTAATATGTTTACAACCCTCAAAAATAATGACTTGCTACCTCATTTTCCAGATAATTAACTGATTTTATTTCTGTGAAAAATATCCTCAAAAGGGAAAGAAAGCAATCATTTACTGGGTGCTTACAATAAGCCAGGGTACTGCACTTAGTTCTGTCAATCTTCACAATAGTCCTACAAGATATTATACTCATTCTATAGACAAAGGCCTTGAGATTCAGGGAGATTAAATAACTTTGCTTCAGGTTTCTATTAACTGGTAAATACAGCACTTGAAAGTCGGTTGCCAACAAAAAAAATGGAATGTTTCTAACTCTGAAGTCATACCCTTCTCACATCTTTCTGAATGGACAATAGTCTGCTCAGTAAAGTGAAGATTCAATAAATTCCTAATTTATACTAAAAAAATCTAAGAGGTTAAAATCAAAGTAACTAACAGCACAAATTTTCTAAACTACACCTAGTGAACTGTAAAGATATTAATTAGACCAACAATATCACAGATGTTTTAACCTACTTCTTAGTTAACACAGTAAGAAGATTTGCACAAAATGTTTATTCAGTAAGTTTGTAGTAAAATTCTATCAATGGGGAAAACACACTACTACTATTTCTAAAACAATTTTTCTAACAGTGGTACTTACCCTTCTTTTGTATAAAAATCCTAAGCAGTGGATTGGCTGTTGAAACAGCTTTGTGATAATTATCATCATTATTTATAGGTAGTAAGTCTCCATGGATGTCTGCATAGCCTATTAAAACGTCAACATTGGGTATCTTATGAACATGTTGCAGTAGTCCATAAAACTCCTCAAATTTTCCAGGTTTTGATCTTTCCAGTGAAAACCGACGAAATTCAGCTCCAAACTATAAATATAACAAGCATATTAAGTTTTTTTTAAAAACCAAAAATAACAGAAAGACTCAAGTTAAAAATGCACAGCATAGAAAAACTAACAAGCATTGTAAGTATTTCCCCTAATAAAGATAGTCCATTGTCAAAAATCTCATTATCAGGAGATAAAAGAACACAAGAAAGACATGAGAATGTGCCTCCTCACTGTTACCTCTCTGAAGGGCATTCCCTCCAAGAGATGCAGGCTCAACTCAATCCCTGGGGTACCCAGGCCTCACTTGGGGACTGTCCTGCACAATGACTCAGCTCAAACCCTGTCTGAAGCCCAGACTCTGACAGCAATACTCTCCTCACTCAAGTCACAGGGTACAAAAGATGTTCCCAAGTCTTTCTTCTGACCACTAGCAAAAAGCATCTAAGTGTCGTCTGCCATAAAAGGAACTACAATTTCATGGGATGGGACAAGAATCAATAGCAAAATGTACAAAAAGTATTTTGAGCTTCTTGGCATTAAGGCATGATACAAATGGAGGTAGGTACATCATAGAAGAAAAAGGTCCAGAGATGAGAAGCATCTTCCCTATGTTAACGCAGAAAAAAGAAGCTTAATTAATACATAAAATGTGTGTCCTACAACTACCCGATTAATGCAAGAAGTATTTATGTGTTTGGCACAGTGCTAAGCCCTAGAGATTGAAAGGCTCGGGCCTGCTCCAGAAGCTCACCAATTAGTGGGTAAAGAGAATAATTACTTCAGGGAGGTATTAGGGGATCACACATATAGGGACGGTGACAACCTCCATCATGCCCAATATTTATCTTCACGGTTCTGCTTTTCAAGTCTGCTTCCCTGCACCACAGCTCTCCCAAAGCCAAATCATTAATGTGGCTCCTATACAGCACTAAGGACTGGCTTCATCTAGCTCACAATAAACAGGATTTATAACTTACTGTGGGACTAGCATGGCATTTCCTCAAATGTCGAAACTTAAAAAGGGTTAATCAGCCTTCCTCAAAATGTGTCCCAGTCACATAAGTTTGGGAAATGCTACATAACTACAATCACCCTCTTAGGAATCACTGTGGAGACCAGCATATTACCATTAAGTCCTATAGTTGATCTTTTTAAAAAACTTTTTAAACAAATGTTTGCCAAATGTGCTTGACCACCAAAAATTTTCCCTGCAAATATTTATTGTCAGCAAGAAATACTAACGTACTACTGGGACAGCCTTAAGCATCATGCAGAGAAAGACCATATCACAATAATTTGAGCAATTTACAAACGTGTCAATTCATTTTCCCAAAGGCCCTATGGGATACCTGGATTCACTGTTTTTGCTCTTTCTAAAAAGTTCACCTGCCTTGCTTATACCCATACTACTTGCTGGTTTTAAATTAAAATCAAAACTCACTAAAACCAACTCTTACCTCTAACAAATAATTAAAATAGTTTCCAAAACACAATCCTGAAACACAACACTAACATTTGTCAAGAAAATAAGGTGACTCATACCTAAGACTCTCAAAAAGTTTAGTCACACCTTCACGTTTCAGAGTAAATAAAAACTCAGGGAACACCCTTCATATCAGAGCTTATCATGATGTTATCAAAAGTCATAGTTTCCCCGCCATTTTCTTTATGCTGGTACCACGACATAAAGTTGCTAGTGCTCTCTGATTCACCCACAGGGTTTGTCACTTCTCCTGATATATGAATGGGAATAACATATGATAATTTTCATTTTAGGGCTTCAATGTTTTTGCTAAAGCTTCTGGATAAAAATTCTTTGCACAATTTCTTGTCTTGCTTTACTGTTATGATAAAAACAATGGAAAACTGTGTGGCTTCACAGTAGATGTGCCCTTTTGCAAATGTTGGCAGGGGGAAAAAAACAAGAGAAACTGTTATGCTTCTTGCAGCAAAACAATAGGATTAAGAGAACTTCTTACTACATGAAAAAAAAAACACTAAGATATAGACAAAATTAAGACCCAATAAACAATTATTCACTATGTGAACCATTTACAACTCTTTTTTTTTAGCCTAGTCTAGTTTGCCCTAGCCATCCAGAGTGTATGTATATGGACTCCCTTCCTCCTGCATCTGTTGGCACATTCCCGAAATGCAAACTTAATTTTAATATTCTATTTGCTTATGAATATTAGGAAATTTTATGGCTTAAAGACTGTTCCAAGGTCATTAAAGGACACTACCATGATTATTGACTAAAAATCTTCCCAACTCTAGAGAAACAATTTGGAAGATAAATCAGTTACCAAAGAAAAGTCACATGATAGCTGGTATCACAGATTTAACTGTAGTTATATTTACATTAGCCACTATTTCATTATCTGTGCCATTTTTCCCTTCTATGAACAAAGATAACAAAGTTGACACTACCATTTCCTGTGCAAAAGAAAAAGACATCTTAAATCATGGACCTGCACACTACCTAGTTTTGGTTTCAACCTCTTAGTGATCAGCTTTGTAAAAAGCTGTTACATCACTAAAAAAGTGTAAAAAAAAATACTGTTCAAAAAATCTTTCCAAATATTTTGAAATGGTTAAGATAACAAATGTTTCTTTAAATCCATTAGAAATAAATGTATCAAAAAATATTTACAACATAAGGAGTCACAGATACATAAGAAACAGTCCCTATACTGTGCCTATTTATCAATAGCTAGAAAAATAGTGGGACCATACTTCAGTGCATGTTCTCAAAATGCCTTGATTTTGAGACATGGTTCACTAAAAGTGCAGTATGGCTGGCCAAATACATAACATGTAGTATATGAACATAAGTATGTTAAAGATTCACAAATCAGCCAACAGAAGGGAAAAGCAAAAAGCCTGAAATTCAAGTCCTCAAGCGCTCAAGGTTTCCTAGTACTAGAGATAAATTAGTATTTGATTGTATTTATCACAGCACCTAAAATCCCTACTCATTTTTTCCTATGAAAAAAAATTAAAGACTTGCTACCAAGATTAGGACCATAAACTGAATTTTAAGATTATGCAATATCATAAGTGTTTTCCTTTTCTTAACCTCAACTCCCACAAACCCAAACTAGATACATAACAGAAATGCCATGAGAAGGTTCAACCAATGGGTATGGAACCACTACCGCCACTATGTTGCTAGAGGAAGAGCTGTATGTATTTTGAGTAATCTTAACCTTTCAGTTCAAGTAAGTCACTTCAATTTGCTATGCTGTGTTCCACAGAGAACACAGGGAAGAACGTATTCCTTAAATTGCTATAATTACATTTCTATTCTTATTAAACAGAACCATTTCTGAAACTAGTGCCTATCCTAATACATGAGTTCTTAAGTCACAATGTTTTAAAAAAAGAATGTAGATTTTCTTGATGTGATTCTCAGTTACAGAAACTTACAGAACTTTGTTATCAACTCTAGACAATAAAACCATTCTACCCCAGGCTCCAGGAAGCTTTCCTTATTCTACAGTACTTCACTCAAATCACTCCTCGATTTTGCATTCTCCTTAGTATCCTTACAATCCATGATACTCCATTTTTGACGTTCCTATGCTTTTATTTTTCTCCTTTAATATGTTTTGGCCTTCTCAATTATATTTTAAATGTTCTCAGGCCCCAGCCTCTATTTTGTATTCTATAGTGCCTAAAAGTTATTCCATAAAAAGGCTTTATAAGTCAAGGCTTTGTCATAAAAGCAGAGCTTGGGGAAGTCATAACCTTTCTCAGCCTGTTTTCTCATCTCAGACTTCTCAGAGAACTGGACTAGGTTATCTAAGCTCCTTTTGATTCAACTCATGAAATGCTTGCTGAAAATGTTCCCGTGCCTGCCGATCACCTTCACATTCCAGCTCAAAACCCCCGTTGGAAAGCATTCCCTAACTAATCCCTACAGACTACCCTGCTCACCGAGCCTTGCGATTTAGGAATTCGGTAGATACCGAGGTAGTAATAATGGTCAGCAGTTTGGCATACCGTTGGTCAAGGGCGAAAGCACTTGATGTGAGAAGGTAACACGATGGAACGAAAAGAGCATCCAGACTCAAACTGTAAAGTGCTACTACGACGGAAGGTGATAGCGTTAATTTCATAGATTAAATGCATACCAAAGTTAGTGGTGGAAAAAGCCCTGGCAGGAAGCAAACCTAACTTTAACAGGGATTAGTTCACTGGGCTCTCTCCTTCGCAGGATGCACCCTTGAACCACAGAAAGGGGTAACATTAACGAAGGGGTGTTCCAAATGCCTTCTACTTATAGCCCAGCAGGTAGAATTCCCCCAAACCTTTTCTACCACCTTGCATTCAAATGTTTCCCATCCTCGGGTACAGCTTGGCCCTTAACTCCCATCCGTGAAAACAATGAGATTTTAAGGAACAAGATTAAGTGCCCCACTGGATCTTCCTACCTGGGCCAGAAGCAGACACAACTCTCCCCCCCCTCCCTTCTCTGCAAGTTTATCACCCACCATCTCTTGTCTCCAAATCCCACCCCCATCCCCCACCGTCCCACACACCAGGGCAGCTCAGCCAGTCGCCTCCCCAGCGCTCCGTGCCCGGCCCGGTTCCCCCCCCAGGCCCGCCGCTCCGCCGAGCCCGGGCCCCGCGCACCTTGCTCTTCACTTCCATGGTGCCCAGGCAGCCGCTGCCCGCCCCGTGCCGGTGGCCGCGGTTCATGCTGAGCGCCGGGCCCCGCGGCGGCCTCCTCGGGCAGGCCGCCCCTCAGGAGTGCGGGGAGCGAGTGCGCGGCTGGCGGACTGCGGCCCGGGCGCCTCTTCACAGGCACCTGCCGAGGGGGCGGCCGTGGCTCGGGCGTCCGCGCTGAGCTCGCTCCACTGGCTGCTCA